AGTTCCTTTTGCTTTTCATTCATACACGTGAACCACCAATATTACTCACAAACCTATCAGCAAGATAGACATCTGAGTTCTGCCCAATGTAACATGCACAGGTGATGGTCCCTTCCCTATTAGTCAGCTTGGCTAGGACCTGGGCAACTGCTCTCCCACAAGGCCTAGGGCAATTGTCACAGTTGAGGGAGCACTCTGGGCACTACCATGAGGAGGACTCTGATGCTAAGCAGTTGGCCGAGTGTTGGTGTCATGACTGTCCATTGCTCGTTGATTTCTGTATTGTTTCTTCCCCTCAAACCCAGAGCACAGTCCTCAAGGAGATCAGAAGTAGATAAAACAACAGCCACAGTGCACCAGACAGCCATTTGCAGTGGCCTGGTCATCACTTAACAATCCGTGCTGAGAAAGCCTCCAGTTTAGAGTGTCTGACAACTTCTGTGGTGCAAAATGTCATGCTGTGACCTAGTACTGGCTTCCTGCTTTACATCTCTGAGTGTGTAGGCCCAGTGGGCCTCCTGGCAATACTAGCTGGCTCTGGAAAGCTGAAACCAACCACGTATAAAGTGACAAAGAGTATACTTATTATACCATGAGATTGGTTCATATGGCATCCATTGAAGTATGGCATGTACTTTGACTCAGCCCCTTTCCTTCCTTTTCCCAATTATTGTCCCTTCTGTCTTCATGGCCTGCATATATGTATGGGTGTATGTGTGTGTGTGTTTGTGTGTGTGTGTGTGTGTGTGTGTGTGTGTGTGTGTGTGTGTGTATGTGAGAGAGAGAGAGAGAGAGAGAGAGAGAGAGAGAGAGAGAGAGAGAGAGAGAGAAAGAGAGAGACATCTAGGTTCAATATAAGGGAGAAAGTATAATATTTGTCTTTCTGAGTCTGATTTATTTTGCTTAATATACTGATCTCCAGTTCTATTTTCTTGAAAATGGCCTAATGTCAGTCTTCCTTATAGCTGAATAAAATCATTGACTATGGATGGATGGATGGATGGATGGATGGATGGATGGATGGATGGAGAAGCCCAGGTTCTTCGTGCCCATGTTGATGGATGTCTAGGCTGGTTCCTTATCTTGGCCATTGTGTATACTCCTGCAGTAAACCCAGCTATGCAGATCTTCATGTTGTTTGCTGACTTGGAGGCCTTGGGCCCACACTCAGGAGTGGTATAGCTGAGTCGTGTTATAGTTCTGCTTTTAGTTTTTTGAGGAAGCTTCATATTGATTTCCATATTGGCTAGACAGTTTACATTCCCACCAAAAAATCAATGAATCTTCCTCCTATCAGTCTGTGAGGAATCCCTCCCACCTGCAGACATCCTCCTTAGTTTTCAAAGAAAAGGAGACAGCCACTGTGTGGAAAGCCTCCATTATGCTTAACATACTCTAACTCATTTGATACCCAGAGAGTTCAACTTACAAAGGAGGAACCTGAGTCGCAGAGAGCCTAAGCTACTTGCTTAAGAACACACAGCTCATTCAGGGAAGGACTCAATTTTAGTGTTTACTTTTTCTCACTCCCAACTCTAACTCCTTCTGTCATGTTGATCCCAGCAAAAGAGCATGCCCTACTAACTGCAGGTGCTTTGTGAGTTGGGCTTGCTTGAGATACCCTGGCAGAAGATACAGAGGCCTGTGGCTGGCTGAGTCTATCATGTCTGACCATTGGAAGCCCATCTCTACTGCACAGTGCCTAGCTAGAGGTGCTTGGACTCAGGGTGTTGTTGATTCTGTTGTGAAATCATGTGGAGGGTAACTGCAATCCTGTAACGAAGACAAGTTAGATCAATTTCCCTACATTTTACTTTCCACACATCACATTTATTTTCCACACATCTTTAGCACCCACAGTGGGCCAGATAGAGTGGGTGCTGGGCAAGCTACTATCCTTCCTTGGGCAGCCATCTGCTGCTCCATCAAAAGTAGGCAGACCAAATGGAGAACATCCCATGCTCATCACAGGCTGGAGCTCATGAGTCTCAGAGACCTAATCCTCAACAAGGGCCCTGGGTATGGGTGGACATATGTTGAGGACTTCTGATGTCTTGTATTCAAAATACCACCTTCCTGGACCTCCACAACTCCATGTAGCATGTGATATTCTTCTCAGACTTAGGGCATTGCTCAGGAAACAGAGGCCAGAGAAATTACTCAGCAGTAGTAGAGGCAGGATGTGAACCCAGACCTCTGCCTCCAGAGTTGGCTGCTACCTCTGATACCCTTGAGCATTAGGAAATGGCAGATTGTGACATAAAGCCATGTCACCCCAGGGCAACTTTCTAAGGATAGATACAAGTACTCTCAATGGAAAATAAAAGCATGATCATGCATGCATCTGGTGCCTAATATGTGCACAATAATTAGGTGTGATGAGTGAAGATGTTATCCAGCATGACCCCAGGTTGTGTTCTGCCAAGAGACGTGAGACTCCACAAAGCTGTTTGAAAAGAAAAGTAAGGCACAGTATTCTTGGGGCACCGTGTATAGCTGTAGCTGGAGTTACTGGAGTCAAACATGCTCCTTCCTGAATGGCTCTGGGATGGGAGTAAGTGTTTGATACATGATGTACTTAATTCCTTTTCAGAAGCTTGGGTAGATTGAGAGAGGAAGGAAGTCAGTCACATGGTATGACTCCAGTGTGTATGTACTGAAAGAACAGATGTATAGATGGAAGTATGGGTGAGTGGATGGATGGATGGATGGATGGATGGATGGATGGTTGATTGAGTAAGTGGGTGGAGAGATGAGTTGAGTGGTGGGTTGATAGATGGATGGGTGGGTGGGTGGGTAGGGGGATAGATGTGATGGATGAATGGGTGAGTGGGTTGGTAGATTATGAATGGATGGACAGACAGACACATAACTAGAGGTACTCCTTTGTTCATTCCTCAAGTGCCTAACAAATGGTTTGGTCTGATTTGCTGAGGATTCTTAATGAGATTTTTCAGTCCAAGCCCATGGCAGAGCTGTGGTAAATAAGTTCTTGCTTAATAGGGGATAAGATATTACCACTCAGCCATCTCTATGAACAGAGGAGATAGATGAAGGTTATCAGTGAAAAAAGTCATTTCTAAGTTTAAGGACACTCTGTCATCCTCAGCTTCCACAGCCCAGAGAGAAAGAGATTTTTCTTTGTTAGGAACAAAATCAGTTTGCTGAGATGGGTACCCACTAATGAGGTTTCATTCTGCCCAGTGGAGCAATAGCAGAGATCTGTCTTCAGAAAAGAGAGAGGGGGTCCCACATCTTGGCTTTTCAGTTTGGCCCTGATGTTCTTAACACTGCTAGCAATTTTCTGTTATTAATGCCTGTGGAATTAGGTAGACTTCTCCTGGCTCAGGAATAGTGTTAACAGCCATGGTTGGGAACTTAGCATCTCCTGCATTTCATGCATAACATGCACTTCTTACAAACACCACAGAAGTTAGGCTTCTTCTGGTAATAAAGAAAGAAACAAACGAATAAACAAATAAATACACAGACATTCAGAGAGGCAAAGGAGTTTGTCCAGAGTCACCCAGTCCTTTGGTGACAGACCTGGAATGCCTCTCTAGGTATTCCAATCCTAGAGCTGTTTGACATCTAAATGGATGTCAGTGTGTCCATCCACAGGTTATCATTACCCTTCTGGAGTGTTTTAAGCATCTTGAATAGCAACCGTTAACTAGAAACTATCTAGCTACAACAGAAGTTGCCAGAACACTCATCCCTCCCACCCCAGCACAGCTCAGTTGAATAGACTTGCAACTCTGTGTCTTCTAGCAACCCTCAGAACAACAATCTGCAAACTATGGAATGTATGTCCCCTAACACTAAAGCACCACTGTCAACAAAGACCTTTGTCCTTAGTCTGTCACACTCACCAAGGCTCTTCCTTCCCCTTCTCTAAGCACTTAGAGCTCTTAGCTGCTTAGATTTCCCTGCCAGCTGGATGACTTCAGTCAGTTAAACTCTCCGAGCCTCAATTTTTCACCAGTCACAAGCAAATAACAACCGTAGACTTACAATGTTCTGAACATTGAATGAAGGTAACGCGTTATTATATCTTCCATGGTCACTCTGCACATCTGTTCATGTCCCATACACAGCCCCAGGCAGGCCACTCTGAGGCTCCAGCCCATACATAGTCCTGTGCAGAGCCACCCACACAGGTCACTCTGAGGCTTCAGCTCACAGTCCCGTACAGAGCCCCCAAGCAGGCCACTCTGAGGCTTCAGCCCAGATTTTTCTCTGACACCAGTTTCTCTCAACATGCAGGCACCCGCTTAACATGCAGTATGCCACATTTCTTAGGAAATTCTGAGTTTCCCACATTTCTTTCATTTATAACATTTTGTGATTTCAAAATTTATATGCATTGCATGTTGGCCCTCTCTTTGGCTCTTCCTCTCCCATCTGCCTACTTCCTACTTAGATAATTGTCAATTATCTGTGCCACTTTCCCCAGGAAGATTCTAACTGCCAGCCTCCACATGGCACCACTACTGTCATTCAAGGTCCTCTGTACCTTTGGACACAATGGCTGGCTGAAAGCCTTCACTGAGCACCTACCCTGTGTCTGGATCTCACATGGGCACTCTCTGTATGCTACATCCATTCATCCCACCACCAACATCTGTGTGATCCAGGCAACACTATTTCCATTCCATAGATGAGAACATGGAGGTCTATAAGTGGTTTAAATGGCTTGCCCATGGTGACTTGCTCAAGGCAGCACAGCTGTCACCTCCTAGCTGTTTCTTGAGTCAGACAGTCCCCTGGCAGGAAAATGGGCTGCTGCCCTGCCTGCCACAGCACTCCTTCCTTCGTATCTAGCTGTTCAGCATCCTCTGAGCAGTCAAAGTACTAGGAGGCAGGACTTCACCAGGACCTTTCCCGGCTCAGATTCAGGGGTCCTTCTCTGGCTCCCAGAAGCCCAGCCCTAACAGCTGTACTTCAGAGGGCTCCTAACATCTCTCCCCTCCCTGTCCCTGCCAAGGTTCCCTAAATACCTTCAGACGAGGAACATGGCCTCTCCCGGGAGTTGGCAGCAGAGGGCCACCAGGCATGGGGTCACCAGCTCTCCATCAGCTGCTGCTGCTCCAGGCTGAGTGGGCCACACCGGCTTGAAAGGGAGCACCGGCATAGCCCATGTTATCAAGCGAGCTCCAGAGTTGTGGTTGCTGAAGGGCTGCACACTTCCTCTGCTGAAACAAGGAAGGCAGAGGCGCGGGGCTGGCAGGAGGGCAGGTTCCTGTTTTCACTAACCCACAGAGCAGACTTCTCTCTGCAAGGACGGTGGGGAAGAGAAGGGCCTTATTAATTCCTTTACAAAGCACTTGAGAATATAAGCAGCTTGACTGTAAATGGCCGGGGCTTACAGAAACTCACTTTTTCCCTCTCTCTTTCTAATTAAAAGGCAGATGGGGCTGTGAATTTGCCTGTGTATGTCCCCAGAGCTCACTGGGCCCAAGGAGGCTGGGGATAGCTCACGGCAGCTTTTCTTCCCAGAGTTTCTTTCATTTTCACGGCTCTCTTGCATCAGAAGGGGCCCAGAGCAACCCCTGAAGCTGAAGGTCTGCCACAGGCTAGCTTCAGTGGCCAGTGACCTAAGACAGTGGACAACTGCTCCTGTGCACAGCAGAACTGCCCAGCAGCATCCCTGGGCATGAAACCCACCTCTGCTGTGGTACTGCCAGGAGAAATTAAAAGTCTCTTGTGGTAGAGCTTAACACAGAGAAGGGAGTGATGGCAGGTTGGAGCAAGGTGTGATCAGTGAGGGATCCCAGATTCAAGCAGAAAGAACGAGAAGCAACTGTGTTGCCCTGAGCAAGTCATTTTAACCACTGGAGGCTTCTATGTTCTCATCTGTGAAATGAATGGGACATCCACACACTTCAGTGCTCTAGGACACCATAATAATGGACAGCCTTGTGGAAGAAGGGTCTAGTACCTAGGCAACACATGTGTGCTGACATACATGGTGGAAAGTATCGTTCTGAAACAGTTCACTAAAACAAATACACTCAAGGGAGCAGGGAGAGGAGAGGTGGAGTCTAGTTCCTAGGCAACACATGTGTGCTGACATACATGGTGGAAAGTATCGTTCTGAAACAGGTCACTAAAACAAATACACTCAAGGGAGCAGGGAGAGGAGAGGTGGAGTGAGGCAACTTCCACGAGAACGCCAATGACAGTGGATGTGTGTTCATTGCTCTCTTTCAATTTTCCCCATGGTTTGGAATTGGAATATGCATGTGTCTTTAAATAATATGTTGTTATATGTGCACTATATATAGGTTCATAGTGTGTGAGTCTGCAGCAAGGAAACCTATGGGCATGCCAGTAGGTGGGAGGGAAGCCTACTTCTGATCAGAAAATGGCCGACGGCGGTGCCAGGAGGACCTTCCTACAAGCCTCTCTCTGCCGTTCCCATTCCCAAAGTGGAAAGCTCCTCAGAGAATTCAATGATCTCCCTCAGTCCCCAGCTAGTCCCTACAGAGCCAGAGTAGAGTCTGAGGCCTATGGCCCAAGGACCCCACCCAGCGAGGCCAATGTAGAAACTCAAGACAGTCATTTAGAAACCTCACTGGGTGTCCTTTGCAAAGATAAATTACAAACAGTGGGGCAGCATCTAAATTTAGCCGCGCTGTGTACTAGACAGACTCAGCTGGCTTGTGAGAAGCCAGCTCCGTGCAGAGCATGCTGGGAGGGTGCAAGCAGATGGTGTAAAAGAACTTGGTGGAAGTGGCCTAGAGTGGGGAAGAGCAAGCAAGTGGAATCAGCTGAAGCGGGGCTTTCCCCCACATGCACACTGAGGAGTGACAGAGTTTTGGAGGGAGGGGGACACTCAGAAGGCAGGAGTGAAGTGACAAATCTTTAGCACCTATGCAGGAACCCTCAGGCTTGAATGAGTGCATTCCTGTTGCTGGCGTCGGTTCGGTTACCACAGATGATCAGAGCGCCATCCAGTCACTAGGATTCAGCTTCGATGTTAAATGCGTGGAAGTCCTGCCTTCCCAGGGCTCCCTTATTAGAGCCACTGGAGACCTAGAGAGCAGCTCACAATTACAGGGCGGCTCTAAAGGAAACACAGTGGGCACTGGACAGTGTCCACTGGTGGTGGTGGTTGGGGACAAGGTATACGTCGGAGTCACTGGACTATTACCCCAGGGGTTCGATAGCCCCAGGACAAACTGGAGTGAGGGGTTCACAGAGAAGAAAGTGCTTCTACAGACTAAAAGCGGAAGTAAGTAGGGAGGGAAGCTGGAGAAGAAGCCAGAAGAGTCCTGGGGCCAGTTCTGCAGTGCACTGCAGGATGAGGCTGGATTTCATCTTTACAGTGGGGTTTTCATTCAAGGTCATTAATGCTTGGAGTCAGCACAAAAGCGAAAGACAGGAGACAGCCTCCCAGCGGCCTCAAACTAAGTGTGGAGTCTGCCAGGCTGAGCTGTACTGGCCAACGATAGCTCCTCTCAAGAGGTCACAACTGAGGGTCCACAAAGGCACTCAGGACCATCTGTGTCAGATTTCCAGAGGGCTTCGCAAATTAATTAGCTAGCAGTGCCCAGATAAACAGCCACGGCGGGACACCAGACTGTTAGCCATGAGTGAGCCAAGGATCACTCAACGAAGTGGGGCAGTGTGGTTTCTACCCGTGCTACGGTGACAAGATGTCCTGTCAGGAGTCAGCTGCCACAGTCCCCAGGTGGAGCCCGCAGCCTAACTGGAGCAACTCAAAGCTCATCTCTTCAGCTTTGGTTCTCCTGGAGGCTGCAGGCTCAGGAAGAGCTATATTGTAAGGCAGTTTGATGTTGCATGTCAAGGGTGTGGGATTATCAGTAGATCCCAAGTCTGGGGAGGTTAGGTAATGAGGAAGCCAAGCTTAGGAGCCAGTAAGCATCCCTTAAGTAGAAAGAATCAGGTACCAGTGTACTTGGTTAAGCCATTCAAAAGCACATAGATGCCTTTCCTGCCTGTGTGGACACCCTGCCTCCTGCAGATGTGGCATCCCTGGGCTACCCAGAGCTCATCTGGTCCCTGTAGATCTCAGAGCTCCCCCAACCAGAAGTGAAAGCTCCCTCTTGGACACCCCTGGAAGTTGTTTTCGCAACATAGGAGTCAATGTCAAGAAATGGAATCCAGATAGCTAAAGACTGGGCTGTATGACCATGTGCAGATTTTTCAGGTCTCTCACGGAGCCTAATACTAATACTTCTTGCTCATGGAGACCCATAGGGAAATATACATACATTTCCTAATGTGACATAAAATCATCAAAGTCACCCCCCACTTTTTGTGAACTCTTGGGAAAACCAAAGTGGGTCTTATATGTGGGCACCAAAGGCAGTGAGTCTAACATATAGCCACTGTACATGCCCTGAAGAGATGGCCTACAAGTATCCACTAAATGAATGAAGACAGGAGATTGTGGCGGGAGCATTCGTATTTACTTCACTTTACCCTGCCTTTCCCATGTAGGGACAGAGAGACTGCACCATTTCTCGGGAGGTGAGAGTCCTGCTTTGGGATTGGCTTAGAGTTAGAGAAGTGGCCTGTGGGGAGAGTTCACCCACTGCAGTGGAACCTGGCTGTGTCGTCAGGCACGGTCTCTGCAGGAAGCCTCCTGGCACTACAGCTCCTCTGCAAAAGGAAGAAGTAGAAGCTCTGCCCCATGCCCTTCTCTGCTCAGGAGGGTTTCACAAGTACCCTGACCCATTAGAGCCCTGCTCTTCTGTCCTTGCTCAACTAAACCCACTATGTGCCCCCAGAGCCTGCGTGGTTCTCAGCCCTGTAAGGGTAATTTACTTTTAGATGTGCTCGTTTGCAAGCCACCACCTTTCTTAGATCCAACTCAGACACTTATCTGTTGAAATACTTGTGATGGCACCTCTGTGGGCTAGCACAGGGCAGAGCTATGGGGAGACAAGGCTGGCGCTTACTCCATACTCTTAGGGTTAACCTTGAGTGGAACGGGACAGGAGTAAACCAGAACAGGGCAGCGTGGTGGGGTCTCTGGTGCACAGGGACCCTAGAAGAAGCATCTGGCAAGGCTTTGGTGACTGACATTGACCAAGGTCTGGTGTTCAGGGGGTCATTAAAAGTGGGAGAATTTGGCACAGCTAGACACTTGACGGGCTCGTGGAATGCGTTCCCTGTACCTCTTTCTCGATTCCTTTTTCTTGTGGGATGACTTCAGTTCTGTCTTGTCTGAAGTTGATGGTGATGTCAGTCCTGGCCACTGGCAGTCATCTTGCCTCTTTTACTCATTCTCTGTCCCTCTCAAATCTACTGGAGCAGGCTAATAAGTAAGTCCATCACTGTCTTCCTCCCACACTGTTTCTGTTCCTATTGTCCTGGGCCTTTCATAGCTACTCATCAGGGCCTCGTGAATCATGCCATGTGGCATTAGACAGGATGAAGGATGGCAGGCATAGTGGTATCTGTCTGCAGCTCAACAATTGTGAGAGTAATCTATACCTGTCCAGGGTCAAGTGGTTTTGCTGACCTGCCTGCTACTGTCAACAGAGCAGAGCCCCTAGGTGGGGGTGTCCCCCTAGCTCCCCTCTTTTCTCCAGTATCCCCTTACTGTTTGATTAGTCATGTCTTAACTTTGGATCATGCACCAAGAGCAAAAACCTGGGAGTCATCTCTCACGATATTCAGTCAGTCATTAACTGTTTCCATAGGTAACTTGGCTAATATGTACCTACACACATGGAAACTGGAAAGAGTGACATTTCTTAAAAGATACTGATAAATATATACTCTAGAATTTTCATTCAGTGCTTCGGTGGTTACCTTTGGGTATCCCATTCAGGAGGTGAAAACACCAAGGAGGAAATGGATTGTTTCTAAACAGGAGTCTTGAAATGTTTTTTTTCAAAATCTTACATTTCACCCATCCCCTTGTCTTCAGGGAAGGCCCCGAGATCCTCTGAGCTCTCCTTAAGAACAAAGCTATTACAATGCCTTCCCATGAGAAGGGCATTCAGGGTGGGAGAGTACTGAGGGCTGCTGGGCCCCACAGAAGACATTTTTCCACTGTTTCTCACAAGACCAGTCTCCGTCTCTACAGGCCTGGGACATGTGCATGCAGTCAGTGTGGCACAGCTTCCGTGCCTTGTGTGGCCAGAGCAAGCAGATGCTCACAGGGAGTGGGCACAGGGGTGGGAGACTGAGGGAGCTAGTTTTAGAGAGAGAAAAGAGAAGAGAAGCTGCCTTCCCCCAGATCTCCAAAGATCTTGAGGCCTTAATCATGTTGTGCTGACTCGGATTCCCTGGAGC